TACACAACCATTAAGGGTGGAACAAATGTTTGCAAGTGCCTCGAGAAAAGTGACTTTTATGGAGAAAAACTTCTAAATTGGGCGTTCAAATTTGGCTCATTTTCTGAGTTACCTATCTCTCCTATGACTGTTGTATCCCAAACAAAAGTTCAAGCGTTTTCTATTAGGGCCAACCACTTGAAGTCTGTTGTCGCACAATTTTGGTGGCGTTTTCAAAAGGAACTTCCTCGTTCTCAGTTGGAGCATTTCGCAGCTTCTTGCTTACAGAAATACTGGCGTCATCACATTAAATTAACTAAAATACAGGATCTAAAGAAAAGAGAGAGTAATAAGTACATGAATGAACCTACTAATAATTCTCTTAGTTTGCTTTGGATCTTGTAACACATAACAATTCTTGCCATATTGGGGTTAGGCCTTGTTTCGAGTTTTTTTAAAACTACTTTTCGTTGGCCTTCCCCTTTTTTCTATATGTTTATTGTTTTGTCTTGTTTTGGGTCTCTGCTGACCGCCGCTAGGTGTGTTTTTCATCAATGATCTTTGTTTTTTTAGTAAAATCTATAGAGAATGCGTACAGATATATAGGGCTACTTGTTTTGTGACGTATACCATATTGTTTTGGGATTTATACTAGTCTATAGAGAAAACTAGATAGAAGCCTTTGAATAATGAAAACTAGATAAAATAAAAGCCTTTAAAAAGTATCTTATGTTTTATCAGCGTAAAAAACACAAATTATCTCATGCTATTTCTTTTTCATGTTTTTGGTTACTCAAAACCTACTATGAATTTTTAATTTGTGGATTCGCTCTCGTGTTTAATTTATGGCCTTTGTGTGTGTGTGCCAATCTTCTTTTTGAGTTTCAATCAGTTCAAGTTTAACTGAAGATATTAAGAAAAAAAATATGCAAAAAACAAACAAACTTGCTGTCGTCGGCTATGATTGGAGCCATAAGTAGAGTTTTATCACAGGCCCATGGATGCATGAGGCCGCTCCTTCCTTGTGCTCAGATCATGTGAGAACGGTAAAATGAGAACATTTATATGAGAATCAATTCCAATCATCCAAAGTCATCTGAACGGCTGAAGAGAAAAGGCAAGCTTACAATACAAACGGGCAAGCTGCATTTTCCCCTTAACCCACGTGTCCTGCCGCGCCTTTTCTAATCCCGCCCAATACCCCAGCCTCTGAATTCATTTTTTTCAGACTCCCTCTTGTTCATCTCAAAACGATTCTACTCTCTCAATACAATCTCCTATTTTCTTTGGTCAGAATCGATACGTTTCTTTCGAATTCCTTTTTGTTTTTTTTTGTTTTTTTAATGTTTAGTTTTTGTTTAGGATTTTAGGGCTTTGATTTTCGAGGTAAGACTACTCTTTCTTGGTACTAGTTGTGTTTGCAAAAATATAAATTGGCTTCAGTTGCTTTGTGTGTTGTGTTTTCTAGTTTCTAATTTGTTGGTGTGTAGGCATTATGATTTTGCTTGGGGTTGAATTTTTAAAATTTTTGTTTCTCTGCTATGCATTAGCTGAACTTTCATGCATTTTTCAACTGGTTCAGCTCTGCTTTACTATGCATTTGTTGTGCCATTAAGTATATATGTGTGGAGGTTGAGATTCATTGTTGTTGCTTTGCTTTTCATGCCTATTGGGTTTCTCTTCTTTTATTTTGTTATGAGCTTCATTAGTAACTTTTGTTGTGGTTGTCTAGTTTCGTATACCTTCAACATGTTAAGCTAGTAACTTTATATAAAGGTTTGCTGCTGTTTAAATATTTTTTCCTTTTTTTTTTTTTTTTTGCAATTGTTTGTGGTAATTTGTTGAAATGTAGATTCATAGATGTTGCACACCGTTGCTCGTATTCAGCCAAAGCAGTAGTATCGGCCAAAGCATGAGTTTCGGTCAAATCAGTAGGTTCAACCAAAACAGTAGACTCAACTGGTTCCACCGTTGCTCCCCCTTTAATCAAAATGTTTGAATTGTTGGCTTAAATGTCACGACCCGACTCCCCTAGCAAGATATTGTCCGCTTTGGGCCCCCCCTCTCTGGCCCTCACGGTTTTGTTTTTGGGAGCTCACGAGCAACTTCCCAGTGGGTCACCCATCCTGGGATTGCTCTGGCCCCCAACTCGCTTAACTTCGGAGTTCCTATGACTCCGAAGCCAGTGAGCTCCCAAAAGGCCTCGTGCTAGGAAGAGAAGTGCCCACACATTTAAAGCACTTCACCATTCCCTCCCCGAGCGATGTGGGATTGCTTACCGTTCTTGTTTCCCCAAGACACGGGTCTTACAATCCACCCCCCTTGGGGCCCAGCGTCCTCGCTGGCACACTTCCGGTCGGGGTCCGGCTCTGATACCATTCTGTCACGACCCGACTCCCCTAGCACGATATTGTCCGCTTTGGGCCCCCCTCTCTGGCCCTCACGGTTTTGTTTTTGGGAGCTCACGAGCAACTTCCCAGTGGGTTACCCATCCTGGGATTGCTCTGGCCCCCAACTCGCTTAACTTCGGAGTTCCTATGACTCCGAAGCCAGTGAGCTCCCAAAAGGCCTCGTGCTAGGAAGAGAAGTGCCCACACATTTAAAGCACTTCACCATTCCCTCCCCGAGCGATGTGGGATTGCTTACCGTTCTTGTTTCCCCAAGACACGGGTCTTACAATCCACCCCCCTTGGGGCCCAGCGTCCTCGCTGGCACACTTCCGGTCGGGGTCCGGCTCTGATACCATTCTGTCACGACCCGACTCCCCTAGCACGATATTGTCCGCTTTGCCTTACGATCAGCCGGCGATCTATTTTATGGAATGGACATTTTGGTTTTCATAAAGCGACGTCGCGACAGAGGTAATGCCAAGAAATATGGGGCCTCCTGTACAAAGTTTTTTGGCGGTTCTGATTCCAAAATTTGCAAGGTGTTGAAATTGAATGGCCAGAAATCACTAGCGGCGCCTCAATCTTCTTCTCTTCGTTTTTGATCGGCGCCTCACCTCTCTCTCTCTCTCTCGCTCGACCAGCCTCACCTCTCTCTCTCTCGAGCTCGACCCGCCTCAGCTCTCTCTCTCCACCTGCCTCAGCCTCAGCTCTCTCTCTCTCGAGCTCGACCCGCCTCAGCTCTCTCTCTCCACCTGCCTCAGCCTCAGCTCTCTCTCTCTCGAGCTCGACCCGCCTCAGCTCTCTCTCTCCACCTGCCTCAGCCTCAGCTCTCTCTCTCTCGAGCTCGACCCGCCTCAGCTCTCTCTCTCCACCTGCCTCAGCCTCAGCTCTCTCTCTCTCGAGCTCGACCCGCCTCAGCTCTCTCTCTCCACCTGCCTCAGCCTCAGCTCTCTCTCTCTCGAGCTCGACCCGCCTCAGCTCTCTCTCTCCACCTGCCTCAGCCTCAGCTCTCTCTCTCTCGAGCTCGACCCGCCTCAGCTCTCTCTCTCCACCTGCCTCAGCCTCAGCTCTCTCTCTCTCGAGCTCGACCCGCCTCAGCTCTCTCTCTCCACCTGCCTCAGCCTCAGCTCTCTCTCTCTCGAGCTCGACCCGCCTCAGCTCTCTCTCTCCACCTGCCTCAGCCTCAGCTCTCTCTCTCTCGAGCTCGACCCGCCTCAGCTCTCTCTCTCCACCTGCCTCAGCCTCAGCTCTCTCTCTCTCGAGCTCGACCCGCCTCAGGTCTCTTTCTCTCGACCCGCCTCAGGTCTCTTTCTCTCGACCCGCATAAGCTCTCTCTCTCTCTCGATCGCGCCGCCTTCAGCCCTGCGATTTCTTCCTCTCCTGCGATCCTTCAGCCCTGCGATTCTTCAGCCCTGCGATTTCTTCCTCTCTCATATCAGTCAAAGGTGATTAAATTTATGGTTTATTCTAGCATCATCTTCCTTTGAATTTAGGGTTTATTCTAAATTAAATATATGGTTTTTTTTCTTTTAAATTAGGCTTGTCGATTTGGTGGTTGAGGTTGATGTGATGATATATTTTTTCTGTTAAGGTTTTAGCCTTTAGGGTTGTCGATTTAGGGCTGCCACCAATTAGGTTATGCTGTGTTGTGATGATTATTTGAAATTGACAAAGAAATTATGAACTGTAAGTATCATGCATTATACAAATTAGGGCTGCTAGCATTTAGGTTCTTCTGTTAAATTGTTCTAATTAGGGCTGCTACCAATTAATTTTTGTTTTATGAAATTAGGTTCTGTTTCTGCTACTGCTATTCTGTTGTTATGTTGCTGTGTTAATTATGTTTATGTTTCCTTTTGTTAAATAGGTTGTGCTACATGCTAGGTCTGTTTTGATTGGTTAGTTTCTGTTTTTATTAAAGAATAGATGGAAGAGTGATGATATATTTGCAATCTGACATAGTTTAGTTCATGCATGATACTTCAATTTTTTTGAACGAATTATGGTTAGTTACATATTAAAGATTAAGACATGCAGTTCAAATTTTGGTTTTAATTTTAGGACCTAGTTTTAGAGCAATGGGTATTTGGTTTGAATTTATGAAAGGAATGAAGCTTGTTTGTAACCTAACCCTTTTTTTGATTTCATTCACAGTTGTTTAGCATCATTGCTGCTGCTGAGCTTTGAAAGTTGGGAAAATTTTGCTTAAATGGAGGTAAATATTCGCTGCTGCTGCTAATCTATTTAAATCTATTTTTGTAATCTGTTTAAATCTGTTTAAATCTATTTTTGTAATCTGTTTAAATCTGTTTTTGTAATCTGTGTTTGTAAAATGTTTAAATCTGGTTTTGTAATCTGTTTTTGTAATCTGTTTTTATAATCTGTTTTTGTAATATGTTTTTATAATCTGTTTTTATAATCTGTACTGTGTTTATAATCTGTTTGTAATCTGACTTTGGATAGGAAAATCTATTTGTAATCTGATTTTTGGATAAGATATATGTTTAGGGAGTTGTATGCATAGGAAAATCTGTTTTGACAGTTGGCTGCTACCCTTTTTTTGATTTCATTCACAGTTGTTTAGCATCGTTGCTGCTACTGAGCTTTGAAAGTTGGGAAAATTTTGCTTAAATGGAGGTAAATATTCGCTGCTGCTGCTAATCTATTTAAATCTATTTTTGTAATCTGTTTAAATCTGTTTAAATCTATTTTTGTAATCTGTTTAAATCTGTTTTTGTAATCTGTGTTTGTAATATGTTTAAATCTGGTTTTGTAATCTGTTTTTGTAATCTGTTTTTATAATCTGTTTTTGTAATATGTTTTTATAATCTGTTTTTATAATCTGTACTGTGTTTATAATCTGTTTGTAATCTGACTTTGGATAGGAAAATCTATTTGTAATCTGATTTTTGGATAAGATATATGTTTAGGGAGTTGTATGCATAGGAAAATCTGTTTTGACAGTTGGCTGCTACCCTTTTTTTGATTTCATTCACAGTTGTTTAGCATCGTTGCTGCTACTGAGCTTTGAAAGTTGGGAAAATTTTGCTTAAATGGAGGTAAATATTCGCTGCTGCTGCTAATCTATTTAAATCTATTTTTGTAATCTGTTTAAATCTGTTTTTGTAATCTGTTTAAATCTGTTTTTGTAATCTGTGTTTGTAATATGTTTAAATCTG